AAAGATCGTACAGCACCAGACGGCCGTGCTGGCGGCGGCACAGGGCCCGGGCCTCGACCAGGTGGCCGCAGTGGCGGCACAGATGCAGCACGTGGCGGCCTTCAGCCTGGTGGCCGCGCCGCTCTTGCCCGCGGCAGGTACGGCGCGCGGGGGCGGGGCCTCGGGGGGCGGGGCGCGGCGGGGCGGGGCTGCCGCCTGACTGTCCCACCCACTCCGCCGCCAGCCCCCAGCTCCCCGCCGGGCGGCGGTCCCGGCGCGCTTCCTGGTCTCCCAGCACCCATCGGGGTCAATGGATTCGGCCCCCTGACCCCCCAGACCAGTGGGCAGCCTGGCTCCGACAGTCTCTACAATAACGGGCTCTCTCCTTACCCAGGTGGGCCCCCCGCTCCACCCGAATCTCCCGCGAAATGGAGTGGGGAGCGGGGGTGGGGGCTGGGGGGTGATGGTGGCAGGGCCTGGCCTCCCTGGAAGGGCCTCCTGCTTCCCTGCTGCCTCTCACACCTCCCTCCACCTCCCACACTCCCTGAGCTCTCAGTTGACCCTGCCCGCCAGCCCACCTTCACTGTGGGCCTTGCGCCCCTCTCTCCCCAGCCCAGAGCCCTGGCGTGGCTGACGCCCTGCAGCAGGCCTACGCTGGGACGCACCACTACGCAGGTTTCACTGGGCGCTACGCGGCCTGGGGGGGGTTTTGACGGGCCCCAGAAAGTAATAGGAAGATTCCGGGAGGGGGCGGTTAGGCTCTCTTCTGAGGAGTCAACCCTCCATTCCCCTACCCCTGGACCCAGGACGACCTTTCTAGGGGTGAGGGTTACTGTGGACTCGCTGCATTGGTCAAAAATGGCCAGGCAGATGGGGCCCTGCTTGGGGGATGGCTCCCAGGGGTCACTGCCCACTCCCACCTCTGTCTCCAGCAGCCTATCCGTCGGCCTATGCCCCAGTGAGCACAACTTTTCCCCAGCAGCCTTCAGCCCTGCCCCAGCAGCAAAGAGAAGGTGAGGGACAGGGGTCTGGAGATCAGGGCCTGGTGGGGCTGGACTCAGGATTCCTCCCCTGAACCAGCCTGCTCCTGTTCCTGCAGGCCCCGAAGGCTGTAATCTCTTCATCTATCACCTGCCTCAGGAGTTTGGTGACGCAGAACTCATCCAGACGTTCCTGCCCTTCGGAGCTGTTGTCTCTGCCAAAGTCTTTGTGGATCGAGCCACCAACCAGAGCAAGTGTTTTGGTGAGCAGAAACCCATCCCTGGGCCTTTCACACTCCTAAATTCGAGATTCCCTGCAGACCCTAAGATTGTGCCTCCAGAAGTCAGTGACTCCCACAAACTGAGTGTGTATGTAAGGCCCTCAGCAGGGTCCCAGACCAGCGATGGGGCTAAGCCCAGACCAGGAACAAGTCTATTTCAGGTTCACCTGGGAGGGTCAGGTGTCTGGTAGATCTTCAACCAGGTTAGGCTTTAGAGTCTAGCCGGGGCAGGTGGAGTCTGGGCCTGGGAGCAGAGATCCCCTCCAACTCCATCTGCAGTTCAGAGGACTAGAATGGGAGCTGTGGGGGGAGAGAGATTTTCCCATACCAGGGAAAGGACAGAGAAGCACCCCAAGCAGCACATTACCCACCTCACAACACACACACACTCAGAATTACCTCCTCTCATTCCCAGAATCACACCTGTAGGAAATTGAGGCCACTAGCCCATGTGAGAGCATGTGCCTGTGTGTGCGCACCTACAAACAATGGAGAGGGGAGGAGGACATGTTTGATGGAACTGGCCTGAGGGGCAGGGAGAAGGGACTAGTCATAGAGAAAGGGGGCCCTGCCAGGCAGAGTCCCAGCTAGCCTCTCTGCCCACACCCTCCAGGGTTTGTTAGCTTTGACAATCCAACCAGTGCCCAGACAGCTATTCAGGCCATGAATGGCTTTCAAATTGGCATGAAGAGGCTCAAGGTCCAGCTCAAGAGGCCCAAGGATGCCAACCGGCCTTACTGACCTGCTCTCAGTGACCAGCCAGAGAGGTGAGTCCTTGGCAGATCCCAGGCAGGGGATCTCTCTCAGCTTTGATACCCCTTTTGGGGTGTTGGGGGCACCCACCTCTGCAAAGGCTGGGGGAGAAGACCCAGGAGTTAGGAGGAATCCTCAGTTTGAGACTGTGTTTTTCCTTCAGTCTAAGGACTGAGATAAATCAGACAACACTCCTGCCACCACAATCCGAGAAAGACAAGTGCATTTAGATCCAGTCAGTTACTTCTACTCCACAGAGAGCCCCAGGGGCCACAGGAGAGGGTTCATGTGTGGGGGAACAGGGGGCGGGTGGAGAATGCGACTAGGAAAGTGGGTTTGTGCCAGCTTGTGAGGAGTTTCAAAGGCTACACGTTTGGACTTTACCCTGAAGATGGTAGAGAACCATTGAGGAGTTTAAGCCAAGAAAGAACAGGATGTAAGGGCTAGGATAACAGCAGTGAACACGGAGATGAGAGAAGCGAATATGGTGCTGAAGAAGCAGGACCTACAGGCCTGGTGGGCGTCAGGGAGGGAGGTGACAAGCTCTCTAAGGCTCCTGGCAGGGCCGGCTGCCTGCGACTTTCAGAGAGTTGCTCTCAGAAGTTCCACAGGAACCTGCCTAACTTGAGCTGCCCCCAGGGAGCCCTCTAGTAGGTGTGCTGAGCTGAGGCCATCTGTCCGGGACCCAGGGGCTGGCTTCAGTGGACACCTGAGGACCAGCCACTCACCTGAGATGTCACCGAGGGGGCGGGGGCTCTTCTTGCTTTGCCCCCCGGAGTGACTTTTCCCTTTCCCCGCCTCTCTCCTTACCCAACAATGGAAACTGAAGGGTGAGAAGAAAGGAAAAGAAAAGCACAGAGACGCTGGAGCAGCCCTTCCAGAAGGAGTGGCCGCGGACGGAGGTGGATCGGACCCAAGGCCGACGCCTGGGCTCAGGCCACCTCAAGGATTGTTTCCACCAAGTGGGTTGCTCTGTGCCTGTGGCGTAGAGCGCAGGCTGGCGAGGCAGCTGGGCTGGCTGAGGACGGACTGTCTAGGGGAACCAGCAGAGGGCCTTGGGGGTGCCAAGGGCTTCTCCACAAGGGAAGCCCAGATTTACTTCTTTCAAAATCATATCATTCCTTAGAGTTTAGGGACCAAAGGACTATTGCTTTTTTAAGAATATATATATATACATATATATATATCTCTATATAAATTAAAACAAAGAAACAAAAAAAAACCAAGAGAAACAAAAAAGACAGTATAGAGTCTCATAAAAGCTGCCTTTACATATCCCTAGGAGACAGGGTGAAGGAGACCCTTGAAGGCCCCAGCCTAGGCAGAGGGAGGCTGTGGAAAGATTGTTCTGTGTCTCATTCCCTCTCAAGCCACCCCCACCCCACCACCTCTTAAAAATTATCAAGGACTTGAGGTCTAGGCTCATATGCAGGTAACGAGAGAGCTGTGGAAGCAGTGAACCCACGATCCCCAAGCTCAGAGAGCATCCCTGAAGAGGAGCTCCCAGGAGGAGTGCGGGCCCAGCCTGGTCTTTGCCACCCCGAAAGGCCCCTTGGCCGGCAGGAGGGGAACCTGCCTCTCCTTGACAGCCTTTCCCGTGGAACCACTGCTTCCCTGGCAGGAAGAAAGGGAGTGTGGGCCATGCCAGCCTTTCCATTCTCCATCCAGATAGACAGGGGCCCTGCCTTTGGCTGAGCCGAGACACCTCCTGTTTCCCCTCGCCTTGAGCCAGCCCCAGTGTCCCCTTGCTCAGGCCGCCTTCTGTCTCTCAGTCTAAGTCTGCCCACCTAAAGTAGATTCAGGATGTACGTAGAGCTGTGACAACAGACTTGGAAGGTTTGCTACTGTATATACTGCCATTGAGAAGGGGATAATTTTCAATAGGTAGAAGCTTCAGAATTTAGAGGTCCCTCTTTACCCAGGACCTGGGAGGGAAGTAGATGTTTTGCCAAAATACTTCTTCATTCCTTTAAAAACGACATCTTTCCTATGCAAGAGTGTCTCACATGTGCTTATCCAAGGTGCTTCTAGGTGGTAAGCGTGTTCAGCTTAGAAGTGGTGTGTGCTCTGTCTGTCTGTCTTTGTCTGTCTGTTGTATACAGTGGGTGCCATATAAAGCTGATCAATGGTGGTGCTTCCTGCCTGCTTCTGTGAGATGGGCAAAAGATCCAGCTTAGAACACCATGACTCACCTTGCCTTGGTCAGCCTTTCCCGGTCCCACAGGGCCTCACACATACTTTCCCCAGGAGGGTACTTTCCCCTCCACCCCATAGACCTGGATCAAACTAGTCTGGGGCCCCAGCTACGTGGTGGGCATTCTGGTCCCCAGATGTCGCTGAGGCTGGAGGCCTCTGATCTGAGATCACATCAGACAATAAAGGATGTGGGGGTGGGGTCGGAGGATTCCTCCTTCATAAGAGTTTCTAACAAAACTGTTCCTACCTGTTCCTCTGTCTTTGACTCGTTTTTGGAGGGAAGGGGATAAAAAATAACATTATCAGGTCACATGTGGTACATATCAACAAATAATTTCCAGCTGAGAGAGGAACCAGTGTCAAGGGCATCCGTACACCAGCACAGTATCAACAGGTGGGGTGATCACCTGAACACAGATGGAGATAATGTAACACCTGCACATTCAAACAGATGTTCACGTGGAGGCACAGGCACCTCTCAGTGCCAGGTGCTAAGCTCTGTGCTAGGAGCTGGGGCTCGGGCATGCTCCAAGCACTCAGAGTCAGGGGGAAAACAGACCAAATGTAGTTCTAATGGAGGGCCACATGGGGTCTGCGGTGGCAAGAAAAGTACCTAATTCAGACTTGACTGGTAAGGCAGGTCAGAGGAAGTTTTACTGAAGGAGGAAGGGTCTTCAAGAATGAACTGCCACATCTGGACAAAGCCATTTGGACAGCTGCATCATTCTCAGCAGTTATCTCGACTATCAAGAAATAACTGTGATTACCATCTATTCAGTGCCCATTATGTGGCAGAGAGTGGGCACCCATTCCTAACTCTACCCTGAACCCTAACTCATTACAAAGTCATGTCAAAACACAAACCAAATGGCATTTAAAAGTATTTTGTTTCAGAATTAGGTACTGGCAGACTGTGTACAAATGATGCAGAGGTCGGCAAGGTCTAGACAGGGGAGGCAAACTATGGCCTGTTGGCAAATCTGGCCTGCAGCCTGCTGTTGTATGGCCTATCAAGGATGTTTTTTACATTTTTAAAGGGCTGTAAAAACAAAACGAAAAACATGAGACAAAGACCAGATGTGGCCCAAACAGCCTAAAAGATTTATCTTGTCCTTTAGATAAAAAGCTTGCCAAGCCCTATAAGGTCATGGAAGACTCGTATAATGTCTAATGATTTTAAACAGTGGTGTTTGTGTCTCTGTTGTGTGTACATGTATTACTCCAAATCCTTTCAGTTATAACTATCAAAAACCAAATTCAAACATGTTTAAGCCAATAGGAAATTAGTTGCTTACATAACTGATAAAGGATGAATCTGCCTTTAGGCACAGCTGGATGCAGGGGTTCAAACGAAGATGTTTTCATCTCTTGGCCCTGCTTCCTTCTACATGGTGGCCTCACTAGCTTCAGCTCGGGAGACCTTGGGAGGACTCTGGCCAGAATAGACACGTGCCCACCTCTAGGGTGGAAGAGTAGGCCACCCTAACAGACCCCACCAGGGCTGGGGGGGGCAGCAGTGGTCTCCAAGGGAAAGGATGCTGGGCAGATAAGCCGTTTGCATCCACTATATTCTACCCCTTTCTTGCTCAGTATCCACCTATACTTTTCTTAACAAACATATAATTATTTAAATGTGCCTGCCTAACAATGCAATAATCCTAGGCCCAACAGGAAAAAAAAACATATTTCTCAGTGGGAAACAAAATAGAATCGTGTCCAGTTGCTTTATTGAGCCCTCAGTCCAGGGTCCCTTTGTGATGTGCAATTCTTGGTCAGATCTGCATATAACTTCTTGTGATTATTTTGCAATCTATGGCTTAAAGAGAAATTTAGCTACCCCTACATAACCAATGTGAAATAGTGGAGGGAAGTAGAATAACCATTTTTAACAAAGAAAAAAAAACCCACCTTCCTTTTGGAACTGGGGAGAAGAGAAAAACAGTGGTCACTAATCTATAGCATATAGCACATCCTTCTGGACAGTGGAGCAAGATTCTTGGTCAACAAAACTGATTGCTCTTGGTCCTTTTCACTGGGAAAAGTCTCTTTTATCCATTGTCCTTTATGGAAATCCATGAGAAGATACCCTTTCTGGAACTGAAGCATCCCTCTTCCCTTTGGACTTGGCTTTGGGCCTAAAGATTGCCTAGAGATTATGCCTTCCCACATCCCTAACTGCCAGCTGAGTTCCTTCCAAACCGACTGGTTTGACTCCTGGGCTCTCTGTGAACGAGCAACCCAAATCAAGAATTTGCCAAGTCCTGGTCCTTGAGTCTGGGTTTCTGGCCCTTGTGGTTTCTGTCTCTTAGCAACAGGTCACATTTGGCCCATCCCCCACCCCCAGCTTCTGGGCTTCCACAATGCCCTGTCTATGGTAATAGATCAACCCTAATCTGCTCAGTGCCCCCAGAGAGAGATTACCTTGGCTGGCTCATGCTCTAGGGGCCCTGACCAGATAGTCAAAATCCCCAAGCCGTATTGGCACCCAGGCCTCAGCCCAAAGCGATGCTTAGGACAGCAGTGAGGCAACCACCCCAGACCGCATTCTGGCCAACCTGCAGCTCGCTCCACTCCTCACCTTCTGGCCACAGTCCATTATTATACTGAGACCACATCACCAAAGCACTCCCAAGGAGATTCTGTCAGTGGACATTGACTGAGGGGCCTTCTGAGAACTTGGGGCCTGTGGGCAGAGTATTTAGCCTTTAACAGGGCCCTGGGAATTTCTCTCTCTCTCTGGCTATAACCTGGGTGTCTTGGATGTAGAGAAGAGACCTCTGGTCTGAGATGGGACTGATGACCTTTGACGTCAGAAGCATCTCTGGATCTGCTGTGTGCTCTGACCCGACCTGGGGTCTCACCTCTGCCTCAGCGGAACAGAACGGGCATGCAGTACCCTCCAGAAGAGGGTGCTAAGGTCAAGGAGAGCATGGAATCTCTCTTCATCTTTTCCAGCGTTGGTTGAAATCTTTGGGCATCCACTGTCCTGACTGCATCTGCGTGCACTGTGACACAGCCAAACCCAGCAGGGATTCAGAGGCTGTTCTGGGCCTCCGGGCCTCCCCTCAGCCAGTGTATTTGTACAAGCATGTCACACAGTCCTTTGTTCTTTGGGAGAACCAATGAAGGAAGCAACCTCATGGGCTTAGGGAGCTCAGAGCCAATGCAGACTCAGCAGCTGCCCTTCTAGCAGGAGCCACGTGGGGTCCACAAAGAGGTGACCAAGTTTGTGCCAAGTGCAAACTCAGAATGGGCAGAGAGCCCCATTTTCTTCCCAGCCCCGGCTTCAGACACTGCCATCACAGTACAGCAGCCTGGGCTGGTCAGAGACTTTGGCCATCTGTAGAGGGGACTTTGAACTTCCAGGCCCCAGCCTCTTGCCCGCTAGTGGCCTCAGAGCACAGAGACCCATTAGGCAGAGCAAGCTGCAAGCCTGGGTTCCACTCTTCCCAAGATAAGTCTCAGGTGCCCAGGAGACAATGCAGGGAGGGAACCACAAAAAGAGCCTGGGAAATTAGCCTCAGTTTCTCCTAGGAGTAGGCCTTGAACTGGCCTGACACAGCAGCCTTGGCCCTGGGCCCCTGATAAGAATCCAGCAGTCTATGCTGGATTCCCTGCCTGTGAGCAGGAAAAATCAGTTGTGTCCTCAGCACCTCCCTGCTACCCACTGCTGGGGCTCAGTGTTGGGACAGGGGCTTTGATTACAGCTCCGCATCTTAACCCAAGGGCTCCAGAATGCAGACTCTGAGGCAGGGAGGAAAGTGTCCACACTGCCTGGGGAGATGGAAGTCCAAGATGATGGGAGGGGAGAGGAGATGTGGCAAGGAAAGAGGTAAAGGGATGCAAGACAATGCATTGCTGTGTTGGCTACTGTTCTCGCATGAGCCGTGAGGGGAGAGTGGGCGACTTGACAGGACTGTGTGCTAAAGCACGTGGTGTTTGCAAGGAGAAACTTGCAACCTTGAACCTTGGAACAGTTCACCAAGAGGAGAATTGAGAGGGAATTTTTCCACCTGTTCCCCGCTTA